CAATCACAACTTTCTCCAAGACCAACCGTGGGTGGAAAAAAGCCAAGGTCCATGTTCCACCACAGCTGCCAAAAATGTGAGGAGTACAAGGAAATTATAGCTACACAAGATCAAGAAATTGCTCAACTCAAGGCTCAAGGTAATTATATCACTTTTTACATAACTAGCACTCATAATATTTAATGATAAGATAGAGAATGTAGGGCATTTTCCTGTCTACTTTTCCTTTTGCTTCTTACTGGGTAGACTAATTGTGGGAGGAAAGATGGATACCAGTCGATCATAGTCTGCCTTACTTACATAATTTTACAATAACTCTGAAACTAGGGAATAAACCATTTTAAAGCACTTAAATAAGGTTACAACACTTGCAGTTGTATTTTAATGATGCATCTTCTGTCTCAAATAGTGATGCTACAAGTATTAAGATATGAATATTATTTTGAAGGGAAGAGTATTTTTCCACATTTACATAGTTATGAATTAAAATGCAGGTGACAGTCAAACAGATTGACCCACTGATGGATTGCTATATTTAATCTTCCTATGCTAACTATGTAATTAAAACTATATTAACATAATCCATTTATCTGTTGTAGTGAATGGTTGTTATGAAGAGCTCCCCAGACCTGGGAAAGTTCCTGAGATTGTGGCAGCACGCTTCAAGGTAAATGCTTTAAGGCTTAATACCTGTTAATTAGACTGTAAAGCTTAAGTTATCAAATTTATATATTTTTTTATAATTTGAGCTTAAGAGGCATATCTGACCATCAAATGTAATGTAGACTGAGTTTGTTTAGAGTTTTAAATAATTTCTTACATGGTTATTGTAGGAGCTGGGACCACCTGAAAACTTCTGCACAGGGAATCGATTGAAAGTGCTTGAACTACCTTAGTGTTCATGCACTTTCAAAAATTCAAATGTTCACCATAGCCTTCCTTCAATTTAACATTAAAAATATGACAGAAGTGTAAAGGAAATGATTGTTATGAAAACCAATTTGTTAAATTTGTATTTCGTTTCCTTTTTAGATGGTTGAGTTGTCAAAAGGTAGAGGTGTCTACTTATATGAGGATCAAATAAACACAGCAAAGAGTAAAAACAGCCTAACTTCAGCAGCATGTTTCCTGCTCAGCTGTTTTTATAAAAATTCTGAGCTAGTGGGCAAGAACTTGACTGGGGCAAATGCCAGAAAGGGCTTAAATGCTGACATTGTTTCCTCCATTTTGGGTAAGTATTTCTGCATTTGGTGTTTTTGTAATTTTATTACTGTTAGGAATCTGTACACTTGTACATGTTGAACAACATGACTTTCCTGGGGATCAGCCAAGTAAAAAAACTTTGGGATAATCCAATATAAAAAAGTGAGGAAAACAACTCAGAGCAAGTATTCAGAAGTTCCTTTGATCTAAGTGATCTTAGATTATTGATTGTTGTACAAGTCTTTCCAAAATAACATAACCTTGTTGTCATTCATAAGTCTAGAAAGTTAAGCTCCTGTGTTTGTTCTTCTTTGCAGATTTCGTGGTAAAGCAAGGAGAGAAGGCCTCTACAATTAAGCAAGCCCTAAGAAATAAACTTAGTTCTCTAACAACAAGGGCAAGTGGTTGGCAACCTGCCAG